AATAAAAAACAAGCATTACAACGATTCCCCATCTAAATCACATAATGGATGAGGCTGAGGGGAACAGCATTTATGGGAGATTAGTCAAAATAAATAACTATTAAGCTAGTCCGCTGTCAGGAGAGGGTGGCGTGGAGATACAAACTCATTAGCTCAGTTGGAATACAGTAATTACTACACGGCTCTGCACTGCCGCAAGCAGTGCTGCTGCTATTCCAATGTATGGATTACAATTTATGCAAATGAGGAAGAAGCGTCCAGAAAATGCACCTGGGGTAAGTGTGCAATTTTTTTTTTTCCCTGTAGAAGCAGCTACATGGTCAGTGGACTGAATGTTACTGTATCACCTATCGTGGCTAACAGCTACAGACAAAATTTAGATTTGGGTGCTCCAAGTCCAGAGGCATTTCTTCCCTTCTCCCTTCCTCTGACTCTCCCACTGCCTGTAGTGCCCCTTGAGCAAAAATGAATTTCTGTTTGATATCAATGATAAGTAAACAGATCTGGGTTGAATAGCTCAGATCTCATACATGATGCTAAATAGTAGATTTTTCATATATATAGTAGGAAAGCAGCAAATTTATCTTCTCTGCTGTAAACTGTGTTGGAGAAAGATGGCACAACTGCCAGTTCAGAGAATGACAGTTCAACATCAAGTGCAATAACTGATAAAAATCACACAATATTTTAAGTGATGTGCTGCTAGTAGGAGACCTATTAAGTATCTTATTCTTTGAATTGAGGCAGTTGCCCGATTACTTTGCACATCAGCTAATGTCACATGGGTGTACAATAATGATGGCATTCTAATTATAATCAAGTTAAAAAAATCAAATCCGAATTTGAATTAATTCAAATCAGAGGCAGACAGTTGGACCAACACCTATAATCTAAAAACGCAGCGACAGATCAGGAGAACAGCCCCCCACTGCCTGTTCCCACAGCGCCAGCCCCCAGGGACGTGCTGCAAGATTTGTTTGAAGCAACTAAGCAAAGTTAATGAATGTGTGCCTCCATGAGCTGGGAAGTCCCAGCAAAAAGGCATGCACACTTGTCTTTGTTATAAATATTTTTAGCTGCTTCATAGCATTATTTTCACTGGAAAATAAACAGGGAACCCAGTTGGCAGGCACTCATAATTGTATAGTGCTGCATACCTGAAGGGTTGCTCACCCCTCCTTGAGCAAGGCACTCTAATGAGCCTACTCCTGCCATGCCCAGGCTAACATTAATAGCTGTCAGCCTGCACAGGTGTCAGGTTTAATGCTAGGCAAAGGAAATAAGGTGTGTCAACAAGAATATTGTACACTTGATCCACAAAGGCTGCTTTAAAATCTGTAGCTACAGTACTAAATGCGGCAACATTAGAGCGGTTAGTGGAAAGCTGGTTGGCTTCTGCACAGTTGGGTCCTTCTGAATATTCATACTACGACTGGTATTCTCTGTGCAGAACTACAAACTAATGGATAAAACCAAGGATTTGAAATATTTCTAAATATCTTGCTGAATGCTGTAACATTGCTGGCAAATGGCAGGCAACACTCATGGCAGTAGGCTATGTGAGCTGGAGCTGGGTGTCAGATGAGCAGATTAATGACTCCTATTTGCAATAATAGTTTTAGCAGAAAATGAACTAATTTGGATAAACTATGGGCTAGCAGATGAAGTCTGGCAAGTCATTCTAAAGCAGGAAACTGGAATTCAAAGTAGAAATTATTTTTTGGGTACTTATGATCATAAGGCACATCATTTGTTGCCAAGTGATAAGAGGTCTCAGAGTGGCTTCTACCATCTAGCCACAGACACCAGGCTCCTGACAGCTTTGCCTTCAGTAAGCCAAGTCTGGATTGCTCATATCCTGGTAGAAACACGGAGCATTAACAGATAAGAGGTTCTCAGGGTTCTGAATTGCCTTCTGGTCTGTCAGAGAAAATTTCAAGCACCAAGGACCAGAATGTCCCTCTGGAAGTCTGTGCTTCTCCATATGCTGCATGGAGTCTAGGGTCACTAAGGTCTTCATGTAGGCCCCTCAGCTCAGTCTAAACTTCTGCTGAATTAATTCCCTCTCATAGCCAGTCCCTGAACAAGCTCCTAAACTGAGGAAGCCTCAGCAGGAAAAGTCTTACAAGCAGTGTACACCAATAGCTTAACTTGAAACAGCATTTCCTGCAGTACAGGGGAAGCTTTCTCTTGAAGTCTGGACACTTTGGAGTACACTCATCCTTTAGAGAGGCTTTATTCTGCATTGCTCAAATGATACTCCCAGCTGCCCAAGCAGACTTCCTTCTGGAGACCAAGTAGCTGCAATTTCTCTTCTTCTGCTCCTGGGGATGCTGTTAAGTGCTACTCCACTTGTCCTTGTCCTTCTCCGAGCAGAGGTTTAGAGGCAGTACATATCAGATGGGCATCCTGTTATCAGGAAATTTCAAGGAGTGTAATAAAGGACACAGAAGTGATGGCAGTTGAAAGGGCAATGTCTTTTGATCCAAAATTAAGGCCCTTTGGGCATTTGACAGCTGTTTCTGAGCTTTGTGTACAACATCTCTGGCCTCTGATTAACCACTTAGGTCTATGCTTACACAGAAAGGCACACAGAGCACGGTGCATAAACAAAATTAAGATGCAAAAACATCCTTATGTCACCAGCTTCCCTACTGCTGGATCAAGAACATAAATGAATGCAAAGACAAGTTGAGACTAGGAGTCAGGGACAAGTCTCCTGCATATAGGGAGTCCCTATATCTGGCTGCTTATATATATTGCTGCTCTGGAGAGCCTTAGCCAATGTCTTTGCCCTTTTTTTTTTTTTTTGAGAAGCACTTGTACTCGAGTGTTCACAGCAGCCTTTTAGAGTTCAGCAGGCAGAAAACCCAGAGACTACAGCTGTGCCACCAGCTTGTTCCAAAAACTCCACTCAGTTGAAACTAAATTACAATGTTTTGTAAAATTGGAATATCCTCTCTTGGTTGCATCCCTCACAAAAACTGAAGTGGCATGCCAAGAAACCCAAAAGACTAAAGCCAAACAAGCACATTCTAAAATAACCCTATCTGCTACTAAAGCAGCAGCAGCACATGCTGTTCTGTGAATATCCTGAATCTGCTGAGCAGCTGTAATTGTGAAAGAGCAAAGTCAAGCCACTCTCTTCAAGATCCCACATGACAGTAATAACCCTCTGCCCCTTACTCCAGCCTTCACCCCAAAGAGCAGCACTCTTCCCAGCGTGCAGAGAAGACAGGGAGAGAAACCAGTGACATAACTTCCAGGTTCTGCAAATGGACTCCAGTCATCTATTCCTTGATGGTGGTAGCTGGAAGTTATTATGAAGATTTAAAAAAAAACAAAAACAAAAACCTTTCCCTCTAATAACTTTAAAGTCATTAATAAGTCTATCTTAAGACACCGCTTCCTCTCAACTCTTCAGACATTCGGATACATCAGATTTAAAATTGACTGTGAATCTTATTTTGGCTCCCCTGTTAATAGGCATTATGCTAACAGCACAATCACATACTATTTCTCAGGTATACAAAGTGCACACATGGAGGGCATCAAAATCCAGGTTGCACAGGTAACTGCAATACTGGCATTTTCTAACTTCCACTCCTTGTTTCCCCATGTAAACAACACTTAGCGTAGGAGAATTCTATACATAATTATCTAGATTGCAATAATACAGTCAGGAGTCAGGACCCCATTGAGCTGGCATTATACAAGCATACAAAAGATGGCCAGCTCGAAACCCACAGGGGAACTTTCAACCTTTCCCAGTGCTGCCACTCCTAATGCAACTCAGTGACAGAATGCGGGGCTTTTTTTTTTTTTTTTTTTTACAGAGTTATTCAGAAGGTTTCATGCTAATCTGTTAGTCATCTTGAATGTAACTGCTTCACGTGCTGGTGCAGATGACCATCCTTTTGAGGTTTGTACCCACTAACTTTAGACTTTCCTTACACTGCTGAGGACAAAAATGATGGCACATTTCCTATGGAAACATTGGAAATCATATGGAATCATAATCAAAATCATTCTGAGGTCACAATTTCCATCAGGTGTGGCACAAGAACACGCCTGTTAGAGCTGCCATACAAATGTTTTCACAAAGCAGCTTCTTCAGACAGCAGCAAGTGAAGGGAAGGTAAGTTGTGAACTAAAGGATGAAAACCATTCTGAAACAGAGCAGCTCTAAGTTTAGAGTTCATAATACAAGTAAAAGCCAATGCAGCCTTTATTAGTGTGGCATGAAGGACATGACCCAGTGATACCATATGGACGTTACTGGGCAACAGTGAGCCTGACACGACATTTAGTAGCAGTGCGTAGTGCATCTGTACTACTGCTTTCTCCTAGAAATGAGATTGGGGTAGCAGCTGCTCTATAGCAGGAGAACTGTGCATGTTTTGAGAGACTCTGCATTTATAATTAAAATTAATGAGTAGCAGTACTGGAGATAGTCAAGCACAGCTGGGGGAAGGAAGACTTAAAAGGAGAAAGGTGTCTAGGCTATGGGACTAGGATTATTTCATATCACCAGATCTGGAATTTGACCTCCCTAACCAGAGTACTCATTAAATACACAAGGTTTTTCAACACTGAAAATGAAATCACGTAAGTAAACAGAGCTAGCTACCACAACTACAGACGGATCAATAGTGCCTAAACCTTCAACAAATATGTTCAAGTTCTGTAATGCCCATAACAAACATTAAGATCCTGATCTCAGTAGCTCTGTATGTATATCAAGGAGAATTCTGCATAGGTTTGGAACAGTTCAGTGCAGATCAGAAACATCCTTAATTTTTCATGCTTTGAGGGAAAAAACAAAGAACAAACAGAACACCATTCATATTGACATTAGGAGTCAGCAGTCCAAAGGGCTGGATCAGCTCTGTTGTTCCAGGGCATGCCAGTGCCACTTCACAGAGTTATTCAGTCAAGTCAGGCTGTATACAGTGAAACTGATTTCAAATACGCAAAGAATTTTAGACTCATTTGAGTACCTGCTCCATGAAATCCTCCACAGAGGTACAGCTTCCCTTCCACTGAGCCTGCACAGCTAGAGTTTGTTCGTAAGGAGAGGAGGGGAGAAGGCATAGGAGGTCCATCCCTCCAGAAGTCTCCATCAGGGTTATAAATCTCCACTGCATCAAGGCAGTTCCGTGTCTGCCCCCTGTCACGACCAAGGCATCCAATTCCTCCTGCAGAAAAAGAATACATAGGTCAAATATAGCAGTCCCAGGTTCTGCTGAGAAATACGTGGCTGGTTACATCATCTTTTGTTTACATGTCCTCATATCAGTCTTTTTTCCTTTCCCTTTTGCAGCTCCAGAAGTTCATTAGAAAGTAAACTCAAGGCAGAAGCCACCACGCATCATCTACGGACATCCAAGCAAGATCCTTTCTGAGGGCTGGTAACAAAGGAAGGACAAGAAACATGTCTTCAAAAGGCAAAGGTATTTTGTTTTTTGCATATGTAGTAGAAACGGTCATAATTACTTGTTTTGTGTGCTGGGCAAATCACTATCACTAAATCATGGTGGATCAAAAATTATTTTGCAATTACTCTTAGTGTGTTTGACACTCACTTGCTAACCAACAGTCATTTGGGTTTGTCTCAGTAAGAGAAAGTTCATACTCATTTCTGAATGGAAGCAAGCTTCAAAAACCAAAACATTCGATATGCAGAAGTACCAACGGGGTCATTTGTGACAAGCCTGAGTGTTGAAGAGTTAATTACAATGCCTGAAGTCAGTGTGCAGGATTGAAAGAGATCCCAGTTTTCTTTTGCTGGAACACACTGCAACAGGCTACAGGCACATACAAGATCTCAGTGCACAGTGCAAACACTGTACACTGAAAGCACAGAGTAAACACACCCTTTCCACATCTTTTCCAGTGATCAAATCCAGATTTTGAATTCACAGCCTTCAGTTCTCCACTATTAATATGCTGACGTACCCTCACAGGTTTTCCATCTGTGCCAATGGACACAATACCCTGTAATGAGCACTGATGGCATGCTAAAGCAGTTCTTTTGTGCATGTGGTGTGTGCGACCACTTTTAAATACAAAATGGCTGCAATATGCATGCAATTTCCACATGAAGGGCTAGCTTTCCAGATACTTTTATAGGATGATTTAATTGTGCACATCCAAAATGGATGGCATGGCATGTAATTATGCCCTTGCATAATTGCAAAGGGGAATGACTGCAAGTACAACCTGTGCAAGGTTAGTGAAGCTGCCTTTAAACGTATTGCCCTGCCAGTGCTAAGATTGTCTGTTGAAGAAAGGAGCCCCTCGTGCTCAAAGTTTTACCTATGTAAGGTTTTCCATCTACCTCTTCATATGGACTGTGCTATATTTTCCAACATTTTGAACACTCTCCAAAGATATTTCCAAGAGAACACAAGTGGAGACCATAGTTCTCCAAATTTATACCTGATATATTCCTGATCAGCATTTCAGAGTCAAGATAATTTATGCCTGCATCAGAGCAACAAAATGAGAACCAAATTCAGTGTCCTTTATGCAAGTTTTCCTCCAGCTGAACTTGCAGTGCTTGATTCAATCCAACATTTGAATTTTTCAGGCACTAGTGCGTACATATTGTGCTTACTTCAACATCTACTGTCAGCAACTCTGATAGATGACAGCTTTATTTATCAGTGAAAAGCTAACAACTAATGTCTAAGTGAATCAAGCCTCAGAGGAGGAACCCAAGAGAGCAGGAGAGTGATTTGGCTAATCACATCCAAAAAGGGACTTCTATACATCATCATGCTGAGCCACTCTCATAGTTCAGTCTGAGCTATTCCTTAGGACTATCTGGAAACAAGAGAGCTTCGAACAAGTTTCAAAATTCAAACATTCACTTATCATATTGTTCCTAATGTCAGGAACATTGTCCTCATCTGTGCAGTATTCTTCACTGCTCTTTAATGGCTTTTCAGAAATGTTCCATATTCCCCTAAATTTAATCAAGGGAAGTGGCAAGGGCTAATCAGACGAGGTTTTCATATAAGGCTATTATTTAGTTGATAGCTTACCAACATTTCTGACTCTATAGCATCCTTTGGTAGGATCACAGACTGCAGCATGCAAGACAATCTGCTAACAGGATATGTACAGTCTATGGAGTACAGTGTAGCACAGATGCCCAAGAAAGTTTTCACTGGTATCCAATAATATTAAAGGTCCCCACAGACTAATCTGATCTGTTCAAGAGGTAGTTTCATGATGCCAGAGACTGCTGCTGGTTTCCAAGCTAGTTTTAAAATTGCACAGGTGTTACTGGTACTACACTGAAGAACAGACACTCACCCACAGGAAAAGTCTTCATCTGAGGAATGAAAGAGCATCTTGTTCAGAGGGACAAATGATACCAGTTAGGCCATGCATTGGGCATATCAGACTCACAGAACTGAATAGCATTTTTGATTGCTTCAGCATTTCTTGGGGGGGTCAGTGCCCCACGTGCCTAGAACATTTCTAGAAACATAATTGCTGTTCGCTGATTTCTTAGTGCATTGTTATTGTCACTGCCAAATTCAGTAACTGTGGGGCATGGTAACTTTAGAAATAACAGAAATAATGAGGTACAGCACAGTCAGTGACTTTTGCAAGAAGTCACAACCACTATCAGTTAATGAAGACATTCAGCTGCCTACTCAGGGCATCAGCCTCCAAGCATTTTCCCTGAACAGTTATTAGAGAGGTAATATTTAGTGGCCTATTAGAGCATCTCTTCAAAAGTTTGAGAGGTACCACGTTTTTTAAGCATTTAAAAAACCTTCATTAGGCAATTTAGGTAACTTAAATTTGACCTCCTTTAATCCTCTTATAACCTGACACAGTCCTGAAGGTACAAGATATCTCCAATTTACATCCTTTGCCATTTCAGTTAGATCCAATTTCACGTTCAATTTACAGCAAGGACAAAGCTAAGTTCTCAGCAAGTAGAAAATGAGAAGGAAAATCAGAGATAAATAAAGTTTAATTTTCAAGCTTAAAAAAAAAACAAACACAACAAGTCAAACTCAGAAGAATTACAACCTTCTCTTGAAGCAATGTTAATTCTGAAATATTGCTAACAAAGGAATATGAGGATATTAGATTCCACCAGCACTGCTTTGCCTTTCCCAGATGTGGTAGTTCAGCAATACTCTTGTGAGACAGCAGTCTTTCCTCTGCAGACACTGATGTCTCAGGTCCTCTTCCCAAATAACTAAATGCACAAATCAGCAAGGAAATTCCTCAAAGTGAAATCAAACCACATCTGCAAACAAGCGGAGGCATCTCATGTTAACCAGGCTATCCATCACCTACAATGTGTATCCCATGAAAGACTTCAGATGGGCAGAAAAAAAATAAACTTGCTGTGTCAGGCAATTCATGCTGCTTTACACTCAGTCACTCAACCCCAGATCATCCTGTCCTGCTGCCTTCTTCATTCAGATTTATGAAACCATTAGGAGTGCAAGTGGAGACATATGGAATTGCAGTTAAGACCAGGAAGGCTGAACTGAACAGATGAGTTTATGTTTGGTTCCTACAGGGGCCTCTACATGAGGTGGAGGTACCCTTGAGGAGGGTAAGGGCAAGCAGTAATAGGGGCAAAGGGCTGTAGGTCACTTGGGGGAAGTTTGCGACAAGAGGCCTGGCAGCAGCTTGAGGTACTGGGGGCCATTTCTGTGTATTTGGAAGTCTGTACATGTGATTGTACCTTAAACCAGCCCATGCTGTGGTCACAGCCTCACAGGAGTCCCCACAGGTGTACCAAAGGGCAGCAAGTGCTACTGCCATGCCTACGGACTGGGGTGGATGCTAGAGAGGGTGGGTCAGTAACCCACACTCACCTCTCACCACAGAACAGGTGAATTCAACACCACCTGGCTTAGTTCCCTGCATAAAGCCCAATTACATGTCCTTTGTGCAGGGAGAGATGGATTTCTCACCGGGAGATCTGAACATTTCTGTCATTTTCACATTCATCACACAAGAGGATTTAATCCCAGAACTCAGCCCTACCCCTCCCACCCCTTACAAATACACCCTTTCAACATGTTAGGCTTTTTACATTATTCACTTTCCCTAGGAGATATTTCAGATGCCACTGAAGGACTAAAAAAAGCCAGTGAAGCCACCTTTGTGTTCCCAAACCCATTAATGCTTGAGAGCTTTCCATATCACGCTTGGATGATTCTGCAATCAAACATACTTTCAAGGGCACTCTGTAAGCAGTAGTTATAATGGACTTTAAATTTAACATGAAGTACCATTAGTAAAATAAATATACAAATAAAATACATAATCTTTATTAAGAAATCATGACAGAAAAGACAAGCCTTTGATGAAGAAAGCAAAACAGGGGTAGGTGATGTGATTAGAACATCCCTAGAATTTCAATGAGGTGCAGTTTTGTGCCTTACTGTACCCACACACTGCTCGTAGCTGGCTGAAGGCAAAGCATTTTGCCTTGCTTAAGGTCAGCTGCCTCCCTCTTGTCCCATTCTCATCTGAGAAGGCTGCGTGCAATTTGAATCACATCAGTTCTAATAACAGAACACCCTCCCAGTGCACGAGGGGGAACGGCTGTGAGATAGAGAGTCACTAGCAATAATTAGTTCTGAAGATGCAAAGGAAATAAATACCTTATATACATCTATGTATATCTATAAGAGAAAGACTGACACATGGTTAAGTTCCCAGTGATTTCACCCATGACACTAGAATTGGCACATGTAAAAACAGGCACTCACGCTAAGCTCCTATACAGCTGAATTTGCCTGACTCCAACCTGGACAAGTTTTCTTTCCCAGGATAGTTGCCCAGATCCAAACCTAGATCATTCAGTGCACATACAGGACAGCTTACTTAAGTGACACCTGTAAGGTGGATGGTGGTTTAGGTAGGACTGAAAAGAGCTGGGGACCTCTGAATGTCAGAGTTTACACTATTTAATTTGGCTCCCCTACTTAGATTGGGGTTTAAATTAGACAAGACCTACAATTCCTCAGCCACATCAACTCCTCAGAGCAACAAGAGCAGGGTTGTTCCCAAGGGGAAGGTATCCCAGGCAATAAGCTCACCGGCAGGGAACCAGAAGCAGGCAGTTGTAGAGGATCCCACCAACAGCCCAGCAGTCATGAGGCAAGGAGAAGATGATGAGAAGGGGCTGAGACACCAGCTCTGAGCTTAAATGATGCTCGTGGACCTATGGGCAGAGAGGGTGAGGTGGAAGTCCCAGGTGAGGCTGGTCAAGCTGATGAAGACCTCAGGGTACTGCCACTGGAGTTCTTTGCTGTATAATTAAGTTCTCAGATGACAATATTGAGTAATATTCATTCTTACTACCATCTCCGTGAATTTTTATCAAAGGAAAGTGGGAAATGGGTGAAAAAAGCAGTAATTCTCCAACAAGCAAGTCAAATCTAAGCTCATGCTCTCCTTTGCCTCATGTAAAATAATTCACTATTAAATTGATCTCTGAAAAGCACAATGGATTTAATAGCGCTAATCTCTTATGTAACATTTCCCTTCATTACTCTTTAACAGCACTCAAGCTGAGAGTCTTAGCACTTATGCTGCTCTCTCACTCTGCAGAGCAGGGCTGCATAGCTGGTTTCGTGGAGAAATAAGGGAGCAATAAAGCTAGCCCTGGCAGGCACTTCCAAAGATGAGAAGCACTGTCATTTTTTACTAACGCAGAGCAAAGCAGATGATGTAATGCAGTTTGTAGAAGACACAAGGAAATCAGATGGATTAGAAGCAGGGCTGAAAAAAAAAAAAAAAGACAGACAATTGTCTTCCTAAACATGGTCAAAACATGGTCAACACTTCGGTTTCAGGTCCTTTAAAGCCTTTTTCTCATTTTCTTTGATAATTCTTAAGTGAGTACGGAGCATTTCTCCTCTCATATATCAGACCAATTTTTGCTTTTTTCATTCCTCCCTACATACAGGCACTTCAGAGACTGTGGCACAGGTACAACAGAGCAGAATCAGGCCCATAATCTGCTGCTTGTCAGAAGTCCAAAGCATATTTATAAATAGACATGTTTATTTTAGAAGAAGGTGTTATTCAAGTGCATGGTTAATACTCAAGCATGAAAGCTAAAACGTCTCCTTCCAGTCACTCCTACACAAGCTTTCCTTTCCAGGGAGACCCCAAAGTACATATTCAAATCAGTATTTTGTGATTAAGACCTACAGTGTTTAATTGAACCTCATTTAATTGCTTAAAACATTTAAAAGAAGCTCTCAGCAAGAACTCAAAGAAAAAAAAAGTTTTAAGGAGATGGGGTGCTAGGCTAAAGAAGATAAACAAAAATTCTTTGATTCTTAAATCTTCACTAATAGGATTTCTCATTTAAATCCTTCTATATTTCTTATTTATAAAGCAGGAATTACATAACATAAAAGCAACACATGGTTAAAGCTGTCATGGTGATACAATATTTTTTTACCAGTGACCTGTATTTTAGAGACAGTCGTTCTACTGAGTACATTTTATTATACGATAGTGAACATGGAATTCAAATGGATTAATTTATATAAATCTTCCTAATTTATCCATTGGCTGCAATGAGTTTTCAGAGTCTTAGCAGCAAAGGATATTTTTTTAAGCAAGAGATTAAAATGCATGACCTTAAATAGAGCCCTCCCATTTGGTTTTCTTCCAAAAGTATCTCAATTGCCTCTGTCATTAAGAACACAATACTGCTCTTTCTTGGGCTTCCCAATGAATATAGTTATGTTCCTGGGAAAATATGGAGAGAAAGAGCTAAGACCAGTCAAATGGGATGAATAGGAGAAAGGATTTTGAGCCTTAGGAGATGCTGTTCATTTGCTTTTAAGGTTTATGTACATGATATAAATAGCATAAGATTCTCTAGGAACATTACACAACAAACAGACAATTATCTTGCAGGGTTGCTGATTAAGACACGTGATACAGATTCCTGAACAATGCTATTACTCAGACAAAAAACTCTAATCTATTTCTCATTTTCCTTCCATCAGTGTGACTCTAGAATAATTCCATTTAAGTCATTAGGGTTTTACACGCTGGAGCTGGCAATTAGGCTGGGAAGGGTTTTTGGACAGTGACTGTGTACTCTATGTTCTGAGCCAACAGGACTTTCCAAAAATTAACACTTCAAAGGCTAAGCATCACATTCTGATCTGGGTTGGGAAAAAATGTGTCTGACACAACACAATTGAAATCAGCAGACTACTTACTACAGATTTACACCTACATGGATGAGAGCTAGCATTACGCTCGTATACCAAGGAGGCTGTCACTGTATGTCATTCACAGCTAGTGTTTCATCTATGATTTTTGCTTCATATTTATTATAGAACTTGGATTCATACCTCAGAGACATTAGAGAGGATTAACACTTTGTGCAGTGATTCTTCATTTATGTTCTGAAGTCCCACCTAATCCTGAATGTGCTGAGACCTGTACAAACTGTACAGGAAGACAGAGATCCTGCCTGAAAGAGCTGACAAACTTACTTAGTTTAAAAATATGTGCCAAGAGTTGCTTGAAATAAGTCATATCTACATGCAGCACTACTTTATGTACCCAGCTAAGGCTATATTACTTTTTTTTTTTTTTGAAAAGTAAAGCTTTAGAAGCAAGGCTTGGTCCTTGCAAGATGTTATCTTGCATTTCCCTGTTTCCACCTTGCCTTCCTTCCCCTCCTTCCTCTGCCCTCATCAGATCTTCTTAGATGGGAGCAGACTGCAGGAAGCCCTTGGAGATGGTGCTCTGCTTAAGGGACAAGTTTTATATCAAAAGTGAGTGATGCTTGTGGGAATCCAAGCATTGCTATGGAGCACACTTCTGAGTTGTCCCTTCACTGAATGTCCCATGCCTGAACTGCAGAATGAGGGATATGGACAGGGATTGTTTGGGGACAACAGATTTGGGGGGAGGAGATTACTGAACTCTTCCACACAACTCTTAAAACTTTTGGTCAAACTACTGTTTTGAAAATATGAGAAGTTTAATTTAAAAAATGACAAAGTGAAAGATACAGGCTTTCCAAAAAATGCACTGTGTTGTGTTGGATGGAAGAGCGTGATTTACTGAATTTCATCAGAATCCACAAATAATGTTGGTTTTGTCCAGGACATCCATATTCTATTTTTCCCTGTGCCTTTCCTTCATGGCACTGGGCATGTTACTTAGCTTCCTACTGTACACCTGTGAAATGATGCTAACAAGGTTTCTCTACCCATCTTTTAAAGCTCATTATTATTTATAGCACACACCAGTAGTCCAAAGAAAAGCAGTTTAAAAAGCAAAGTATCTTTGTTATATTAATCCAGAGCACTAAACATTCAGCTAATTTAATCTACATGAATTAAGGAAGGAAGAAATTATGTGGGGAAAAAATAGATCCTGAAAATAACTATCCATTCAGTCCAACATACGTTGTCCTACAGTACCTAGCAAAGGGTGAGATATTTCACTTCACAGAAGCAAATTGCTGGAAAAAAGACAAAGTCATGGTGCTATCTGTTAAAAATCTGTTTCCTCTTACCCAGGACATAAATCTCACTGTTGACCACGGCAGCGCTGAAGCGGTATTTGGAGTACTTCATTGGTGCGCGCTCTGTCCATTTGTCTTGGCCTGGGTCGTACTGAAACGTTCTGTTACTTAATCGATCCGGCTCATCGTCAGGCAGATCCATCTGTATGAAATATGACAGCCATATAATAATACAACATTTGGAGCCCTCCGCACATGCCTGCATGCAATTAATCACAGCAGACAGAGGAGCAGATAAATAACATAAACACATCAATTATAGCTGCGAAGTGATGCACACACACCACGGCTTAACAGCATCCATGACTTGTGGCTGGGAGTGCGTTGTAGAAGGCAAATGAATAAGAGAGCATTTATATTCTGTAGCAGTAAAGATGGGGATTTGTGTAATAACAGTACATTCATGGGCCCAGTTCTGGCAGAATGAACCTCTTTTGCAAGGCTGCTGTGAAGTCCTAATGATGGTAAAAAGGAAAACCTTGCTATAAAATATTTTTTCTCCCTGCTAACGGTTGAATTTCTGCTTCCACTGTTATTCAGACTATACTGTGAGTCCCAGTGAGGTACTTAGCTGACTGTGCTCAGGCCTATTTATATACAAAACTTAGCCTCAAGTCATATGTACATTTATTTAGTCAGCCTAGCCAGAGTAAAGTTGTTCGACTGCAGTAACTTCTCCTTCAATACTTTTAATGACAAGCTCCTAACACCCTGCTATACTTTTGCTGCCACAATATTCTTTTTATACTCACTCCTACTCATCTTGTTCTTCCTAATCTTCTTCTCCCTTCTCTCCCCCTCTGGTATAACACAGGAAGCTCCGATTATGTTTTATGGGTACAGCACTTTGGATGTAAGCTGTAGGCTGTGTGGAGAGGATTCTGAAATATTTCAGGATGAAAGGTTTCACTTGGAGAGAAGGAGAAGGAAAGAGCTACTCTCCATACTCATAAAGTTGGCATACGTGTTCTTGCTTTGCTTGCTATTTTACTTTCCAAAAAGACCTTTACAGCACTGATATAATGGACAAAATATTAGAAAACAAATTAAATTTAGACAGATATATAACCCCTCGGTTACTGCATTCAAGTGCCTGGGAGAATGCGTTTTTCTCCATGATAGGTGTGAAATACTGATTTATTCACTGAGAGGGGGGTAACCGCATATTTTCAATACAGAATAAGCATGCACTTAAGAGCAGACACCATCTGACATGCTTTAAATTCACATCCTACTTCATTTTCTTTGTGGTGGTGTGCACATGAACCACCTCAGAGCACACGCTGTGCTCTTCATGCACAGAAAACATAACATCCAGTACCCCTACTCTCTGTCCCATGGGACTGAATCCTTCCTCTCAGACTTCCACCAGTGCTTGCTTCCAATTTAAGAGCCTCCAGCTACCCCAGCTTGGTCCCCTTGCATTTCAGTGAGGACAGACCCGTGCTGAAATGGAGCGATGCTGCAGCGAGTCAAGCTCTTGCCTTCCTAAGCTGTCCCTTCATGTCCTGGCTTGACTTTGTCTTGCATTGTTCCCCTTGCAAAGTCTGAGTGGGAAGGGAACATGTATTTATCTGTGTCCCGTAACGGACACACACATTCACAGCACTCCATCAGTGCTGTGTGGTTAGTGTTTGTTAGGGACTGAGGGAACATTCAGTGCTGCCTGAGCACAAAGGCGGCTCCTTGCCCGCAGTGCAGCTGGGGCAGCCGCATCCACCACCACCCGCCTGGCAGGTGAGAGCAAGGAGATGATGGATACCGTAGGGATAAGCACCCTCTGCAGCACTGAAGAAGGACGAAGCTCGTTGTCTGACTTCTACATTTATTTTGTTACATCTTATACTTGCAGTTTTTTGGTTTGTTTGTTTTCTATGGACAGATTTTTTTCTAAGTATGTTCTCACAATTCATTTCTTTAAATAGCAAGGTATCCTTGTTCAGCCATTTTAGCACCAGAAATGCTCTCTGATCTTTCTGTTGCCTTCTTTGGGGACTTCTGCACTCAAATTATCCAAAGAGGTGGAAATCCTGTTTGCTGAATAAATCTTGCTTAAGCACTTCAACCAGCAAAGTATTTCAAGGGATCACAAACTAACGAGATGTGATGACAGACTGAAAATATTGTAGCTGGCAATAATGATTACAGGTGTTCTACATCATTGTCAAGTAAATGTGGGGCTCTTTCTTGAATACCCAAAATTAAACTGCACTGAGCAGTAAATAAGAATAGGCTACAGTCTTAAAAAAGATCTTTTCACACTGGGAGCAAGTAGAGAGAGCGAGCAGTGTTTCTGACATCCATCTGCCTCATGGCATAATTCTGTATATTCACTGTACTACTGAAAATGGTAGTTGTGGTCTTGTTGAAAATTCCCATTAAAACTTCACATAGCCAAGCAATGCAACTGACACCAAAAAATGGACTGATTACAGGAATCTCTTTTCCAGAGAATGTTTCACCTTTTCATTTAAAATGTAATAAAAAATAAATGAATGAACATTAATCAAGAAAGTTTCCTGGGAGATTGAGGTGAAATTTAAATTTCAGATGTAAATCAGTTTAGCTGTGTATATGTTTTCTGAAGATGGGGCTCAGTTAAAAGTCTCTGTGTTATTTAAACACCATTATTTAAGGATACTTTTAAAATGTAGAGAACAGTATATAAGGAGAAGAAAGGCTGAAATTAATCAATTTTTCATAGCCTACGATGACAAATTATGCCAAATAAATATCATCCTAATTATTTCAAATTTTCACAAAAATTAGGTGTTTAACCTAGTAGCTATTTAAACTATGTTCAACTCATATTGACCCAAAAGATATATTTTAAACTTGCTCACTGTGCACACCTCCATGAAAGAACTGCCCATCCTGAAGTTATTTGTGATGAGGATGGCTCAATATGGATATTTTTACCCTTTACCCTGTTTGGTTTTCCTACAAAAGATATGGAAAGAACGCGAGTGATTTATTCTTCTCCTATGCAAGAAGCACCATAAAATTACACATCACATAAAGGAAACATAGTTCTGCTCATTATTACATAAAGAAAGCAACATAACAGGCACTTTTCTTAACCTGTGGTGTCCAGCCACCCAGCACGTACAGCTTATTCTTCATTGTCACCACCACATGGCAGGCTAATGGTACCGGCAGAGGTGCTGTGCTTCTCCAGGTACCTTTCTCCATGGAATATTTCTCCACACAGTTGGTGACCTGGTATTGATTTTTCATTTTCATTTGCCCTCCAATTACATAGAGATCGTTATGGACAGTACCCAATGCATAGAGTTCACGGAGCTGAGAGCTGCACAGGCTGTGCCAAAACTGGTTTCCTCGCTGGTGGTATCTGTAGGGAAATCCAAAGCTGTAAATGCCCTGGCTCACTGATGTCCCACCAGCTTGTTTCAAACGTTATCCCCTTCAACCTCCAAAGTTTATTTAGTGTTATGATTACAAGAGGAGCTTTCTCCTTCACAGACATGTTATAGAACTGAGACCAATATTTGCAAGATCAAGAATCTTTAGTATTAGGGATCCTAATTTTACACATCTTTTGAAAGATATTTGACCCTATTTAAGGTAAGGAGTCCCTTATTTCTGCATGTGTTGTTCAGTCACCATTTCCATTGAAGTTGATGGGAAGAGTGAGAGTTCAACACTGCTGAAAATAAGGCCACTTTGTCTATCTTGGTAGGGATTTTTTTTCCTTAAATTTAGATACCTATGTTTGAAAATGTTATTTTTTAATTTTGTCTTTAATCCAGAAAAGCTCTGGTTTTCTTTAAAATGGGCTAACCTGAAAAAGACATGAGTAAAATAGAATGAACTTTAAATTATTGATTATTATCTTTTCATCTCTGAGCTTTCATTGGTATGGCATTTTTAGAGAAGAGTGTTATCTTCAGCTTACTGGACTCCTTGGGACTTTTGCTTGACTCATTTACCCCCACTAATGACCATGAAAAGAAAATCCTAGGAAAATGTTGAGATTTAAGTTGGAGAATATAAGATCCATGTACATTGAAGAAGGATCTAATCAAGCCTATTTACACAGAGATGCCACTATAGTAAACCCTCCTCCTTCCAGGAGAAAAAGCATGAAGACTTGGTTGTATATATATAATTCCTTGTATCGTGAAGATCAGTTGTGACAAATTGCTTTAAGTAGCCAAAATCTCTGGGAAAACTTTCAGGTAATGAACATTTTGTCTAATGGTCTTTTCTTGATCTCAGAAACATCAACTTGATATAAAGGAAATTTATATCAAGGGATATATTATATATAGGGAAATTCTCTGACAGAGGGTACACACCTATAAATTTCGATGTTCCTGTTTTTTTGTCTAGACATTTTGGCGGCGCTGGCCTCTCCTGCCACAATAATATCATTATTCTCAGTGACAACACCAGTGCAAACACTTCCTAAACCCTCTCCGTACTTTGGAGAGGAAATGAAATAAGTCTTTTTTGTTGCAGGAGCATAACAAAAACTGGCATCTGCGTAGCTCCCATGCCTTGACCTAATGCCAAGGGAATTGTTGCCGATGCAGAGTAAGAGATCAGTTGTCTCCATGCCATATCGCAGGCTGAGAGAAGGTTGGCTGACTAGCTTGATGGTTTTCAGCGCTTCCTCAAACATATCATTGCATTCTGAATTGCACAGGATCATGGTGTTCCTTTTGCGGGCTTCCACGAGAAAGGATGGGCTGACAAGCACCAGTCTCACTTGTTTCAGGAGTTCAATAAGGTACTCTACCCGTGACTTTCTGCTGTGGTTTACCCATCTAATGACAAGGTCCAGAATGCTCTCCTCCCTGGAAACATTCAGGTCATCTGATTTTATGAGAGACAACAGCTGCTGGACTTCAATCTCTAATATTTCTTCCTGTAAGCTCACCTCAGCAAAGTGCTGATACAGGTATTTCTTCGCCTGATCACATAAATCTTCTGCCCCAATGTGATTTGCGAAGTAGTAGATGCCCACACAGTTGGAAGCGTCCATGTGGTCCATCATGTACTTCTGACACACATTGCAAACCTCTTCCATCTGCATGAAATACGCAGCCAGGGCAACAGTCTGCACGTTCTGGTTAGTGAGGTGCAAATCCGCGCTGTACATGTAGTGGAGTATCACGGACACGCTCTCTGCAGAGATGTCATACAGCACCACTTCTCTTTGGGTGCACTCAGCCAAGCCACAGGTAAACATGGCTTTGAAATAAGGACTGAAGGCAGCCAGGACCACCTTATGGCAGGGGAATTTCTCACCTTCTGCAACTAGCACCACATCAACTATCTCTGTTGATTCCTTCATTCTCTTTACTTGTTCCAACAAAGTCAAGCTATGGTGCTGCTTTCTCTTCTCCTCAGTCTTACGATCCATGGTTGATCTCAAAAGTCTCTTTTTTTTAAGTCTCCTTGGAATACAGGACCTTCATCAGGAATGTTTCTAGAGTTAGAGGAACAGCACTGTTATTCAACAAATTAGTGGGCAAATGAATATTGCTGTTCATATCTAAAGATAAGTCATTCTGTGGTGTGTGACATAAATCAGTAATACACAAGAGTAAGTTAAATTATGGTAAAAATTCATGCTCAAGATCTCCAGGACAAAAATAAATAAATAAATAATCAGTACTCCAAATTATCTTTAATATTCAATATTCCCTCTCCCCACCCCCCAGTCTCTCGGATATTCAAGCTTTTGTGTATTCTCACATGCACCTGACAGAAATTAGCCCACAGGTTAGATGCTGCAAGTACCTTACATTTTCATCATCCCCCTCAGGTTCAACAGGAGAATGAAGCAGTGCCTCTTCAGTTTAGCTACTCTCAAATTAGGAGTTTTTCCTGAACTGAGACTTTAAGAAAGGCTTTTACAAGACTAGGAAGCCAGAACTTTAGACTTTTCTCATACTTTTTACAGTCATTTACATTGCTGCAAAGTGGGTGGGAAATAAAGCCACTATAGTACAACCCAGTTCACTGGAGTTTTACAGGGGCAGAATGGTTTTGATTCAAATGCCCGGTGTTTACATCCCTACAAAGCTGCCTCATTGCTCCCTGCTTTACTGGTAGCTTCCTCCCCAGCCTTGAAGACAAGAAAGGACCTTGGTCAAGAAGGTGTTGTGGGCAGAGAGCTTCCACACCTGAAATATGGGAGAATGATGGGCAGGAAGCCGTTTGGTCTAAATAAATAGCCAAGTTGGTTACTCTTTCACCTCAAGGTGTAGGTCACTGGTTTCTACAGAGTTGCTACTGGCTTGCTTTGGGACAAATAAAGGATCAGTAAACAGGGACCAGCTTTCCAGCTGTTCTCCTGTCTTTCAGTGGGATGCTGAAGTGCTATGTGTTCACTGAGTTTGGGTTTCACTTACTGTAACCTCAAATGGGATTTTAATTGGATTGTAATTATTTACATATTCCCTCTATTTTTATTTACTGGGGAAAACAGAAGGAAGTTCACGGTCCCATTTCTGTCGGGGATTTGGGGCCCTTTAGTGAACCTCATGAGCTTTCAGATTAGCTGGCTGCAGTGGTAAAGCTGTCAATGGGAGAATAATGCTTACCCATCACTTCAGGGATAGCAGTCCTTAGCAGTTTTTGTCTCTAATGTGGTAATGAGACAGTTCTGTTGCAGAAATGCATTAAGGAATCATGTCATGAATCACTGCCCCACAGATATGTCCTAAAGCCATGGTATAACCATGTTTGAAACACATTTGCAACATGGTATGAATCGCTTAATAGGACCACTCAAACGAGTAACATTCCTCACCAGCTTAAATGTTTGCAGGATCAGGATCGCATACGACAGGTTGAACTCGCTTTCTCAAATCCTGAAAACACAAAGATTAGTCTTAGTTTTATTAAAGATATATGCATTCAACATAAAAAATAATTATATGAAATTCTTTGAAATCTACCTCTCAAGCAGTCCCGTTTTTTTCTACAGACCTAGGTATTATAGTTATTTTCCAGGTGAAAAGGAAATCTGCAGCTATATTATCAATCTCAGACCTAGACTTTTAGATGTTCAGTTGTTTTTGGAAGTAGTGATCATTCTGTTTTATCAAATTAAATAGATTCCTCACTTTGAATGCTAAATTAAAAGCCAGGCATGCTTAACGACTAACATTTCCTTGATTTTATCTTTTCTTTCCATATTCCAAATTTGGAACTAGAAGCAACACATCTGAGAAATGAATCTGGGATATTACCAGACTTTAAAAAATGGTTTTGGAAGACAAAATACAAACTTTATGGTTTGAATGTGGGCCAAGCTCTAAGCTCTTCTCATGGTATTCTTTAAAATCAATCAAAGACAATAAGTTTAGTACAAAAATAGAGTGATGGTACCTCCAAAATGTAGAATGTGTTTTGTTTTACAGTCAATAGAAGCCTTTTCTGAAACAGAAACTGTTCTATTTTTAATCCTTTGTGGTAATCAGATGACCACTTTGTTGTTTTCCCCTCTTGCTGTTTTATTATTTTGCAGTGTTTTATTTTCACTGTATTTTGATAAAGAAACTACACTGTGTCTCAAAGATCACGTGTCATGAGCACACATACCTCAAGCTAATGAGTTGTAGTGTTTTAACCAGGGTATTAATTCTACAACTCAATTGAAGAGTTAACTGCAGACAAGACTCCAATCACATTTAGCAATCTGAACTAACCAAGCTTTTTCCTCCAAACTGATCAAGTTCTCTTCTTTCTCTTTTGTGATGCCATAACTTCACACATCCTCCAGCTTCTCTGTAATGGACAAAATGTGCATTTCTAATGTGAAGAACAAGGAAGATGATTAATCATCACCATCTTTTCCAGACTTGTATACATATCAGGAAGAAGCAGCATGTAGAACTGAGTTAAAATTTCACTTCCTTTGCTGGTCAACTTTAAATTTTCTTTCACCATTAATTTAGCTTTCTTAAGAGCAACACTGCCTTTGATTACACAGTTTAGCAGATTTATGACTTGTATGTGCTCGTTTAACAGTGATTTGGATATCTAGCACAACAGGCTTACAGCTTTTTTCTCATTACTTTCTCCAGTAAGGCAGCAGTAAAAGGAGCCTTTAAGCACAGGGTAGCTCGCACCATTCATGTACGACTTCAGGCACAGCTTACATAAGGCAGAAAGCCTACATCCATCACCAGGTGACTGTGGGCATTGCACCTGGTGTGGGGTGCTCTCTTCTACCGCCCATGAAGCTGCTGGAGGGAGCAGAGCCCAAGCATCCTCCCCCTGCAGCCTGTGTGTGGTTGTTGGTGTGCCTCCTCTCTCCTGGGGCTGACCCGTGCCCACCACCTCCTCCCTGGGCTGAGTGCTGCAAGGAGCCTCCACCCTGAGGAAACTGGAGCTAAAAGGTTAAAAAGAAACCAGGATTAAAACCCAGGGGTGAAATCCTTTCACTAACCAGAATTTCATCCCCCTGCATTAGCTGCAAACTTGTCACTCCCTTCCTGGCTTTTAGCAGTGTTTAGGTGAGGTCACTGGAAAGATATTAATATTCTCCCGTATATCACTGGAAAGACTATTAAAGGGTAATAATGAAACGGTGCTGCTTTGCTTTCCCCTCTGGGTTACAGAGCAAAGAGATGGTACATTGATATTAAAAGAAAGGATAAATGTGATACAAATATAATTTGCAGTGAAACACTATACAGAGATTGTGCCAGAGGCTGGGTTGTCATTATAACAACCCCAGTGCAAGGCTCAGATCCTTTGTAATGTCACCAGGAGCTAAAAACAGAGTTATTGCCTTCTTCGGAGTTTTTGGATATTTCTTTCTTCTATTTTGAAAAATGGATTCAGGTGCAAATCTTCATTTAATGTTACTTTACTTCAGAGCCATGCTGTTAATTTTCCTCCACTTCTGGCTGCTACTTTTATTTTCATGTTAGTCTAATATCACTTTTTTTTTTTTTTTTTTACCTTTATATCATGAACCTTATAAAGAGCCATATATAATTTTATGCAGGAGCTACAGCACGCGTTTTGCCAGGCAGTAGGGTGCTGCATGAGCAGTTTAAAACATAAATAAGTACACTGCTGTGAGCTCCGCTCTACAGCTTTTATGAGGCCATCAGACTATAAATAAACGCTGTCCTCGATTCTCAGTTACACTGCAGCCTCTTTGAACTGCCCCAGTGCAAGGGGACTGTAAACCAGATGGAAGCGTCTCATCAGGAATTTCCCTTAACCTCTGGGAAGAAAAAAAAAAAAAAAAAAAAAAAAAAAAAAGCTACCTTGTAATTAGAGACATTATTTTGTCTGTGGTTTGGTCTGGGACATAGATTTTCCTTGCCTCTCCCTCTGTGCCCAGGAATCTGCTTGTCCCCATGCCGTGGCAGGAGGGTGGGAGCTGCGGGACCCAGCCCAGGAGAGGTCACAGAGCCCGGCATGGGGCACTCCCGCCTCCTCCTCTTCCTCCTTGCCTTTTTTCATTATTTTCCGCTTTAATGAGGCTGCCCTGTCTTCAGCCTGCCTCCCTTCAGGTGCTGAGCGGATCAGAGTTCAGTCACATCAAAGAACCGGTGCCTCTGCCTATGAATTATTTGTGCTTCCTTTGTTATCGGTGAGCCGGGAAGCAAATCTGCTAATTGTGTGCATTATGACATTTGGCTGACAGCCACAGCCAGGCAGAAATCAACACCCAGATGATAATCATGTTATAATCTGGGTGCTTAATTGTGAAGGCTGTGCTGGCATTTAAGATTGAGATTTTGAACCACACAAAAGACCTCCCAGTACTCAGGAAGAGCAAATAATAACGCTAATCTTGATACAGGGAAAATATATAAAAAGAATAAGCCACTGAAAGGAGGATTCTGGGGAATTATAAACCAACTTGCCTATTTCTGATACCTGGGAAGATGCCGGAAGAAATTGAATTATAAGAAGGCAATCAGAGGGCAATAAGGTGATAAAAGCAGCTATAGCACCTATTTATCAGGAGCAAATTATGTCAGTCCAATCTTATTTTCTTCATTTTTTTTTTTATTTTTTTTTAGTGATAATAGAGAATTAATTAGATACTTTGTCTTGAGTGAAGTTACTGATACGATCCCACATGATATCATTAGAAACAAATTGTGATTAAATCAACTGACTAAATCAATGCAAGTTAGATGCCCAACTGGCTGAAAAAGCACATTTAAATAATCGTTATTGGTGGTCAAACTGGGAAATGTTGCAAGAGAGCTGTCCTGAAAAGGTCTCTCACAGTTTCAGGGAGCACTTACTACTTGCTTTGACTTATATATTATTTCTTCAATGATTTCCATCCATTCTGGCCAGATAAAAATATAGGAACGTGTAGAAGAGCATTTAAGTGGGAAAACATCCAATTCTTTTTATAGAATTTGTCTATATTTTTTGAGAGCGTATACAGGTACATATTTCTTAATAAATGTTTCCCTGTGACAATTAGGCATACAGTGTTTAGAAGGCATCTCATACACCACCATAACTACCATCAGCCAGGATACCTTCTCTGAAGTTTTCAGTATTCTACTAGTCGCTAGTTGCCTAGAGATTTAGGATTTCCATGTTTTCAAAGGCATCCAAGGAATTTAAAAGTCCAAGTCCCATTTAAGCTCACTGTAATTTCATAACTAAAGTATCTGCATCATTTTTAATGGAAGAACTTCAGCTCAAACTTGCTTGAAAATGTTTGCCAGATGACGTGATCTCCTTCCCACTGATAACAGAAAAATAACTCTCCTTGCTCAGCCCTGTCCATCTCCCAGGATCAGCCCTATAGCAAGTGTGTTTCAGATAATCTGATCTGATTTATTGCTGGAAGGGAAAAAGGAACTGTAAGGGTTTGAAACCGTGAACACTGCAGATCAAATCATGCCATTGGCCTTCATGAGATGAAGTATGGCAGTACTCCTGAGAGAGATTTTAACTATTTTTCTCCTTCAGACCCTGTGGCACCTTATTTATTTTCACATCCCATCTGATACAGAGGAGCCTGAGCCAAGGCCATCAGAAGTCTTATGATAGCCAAGCACGAGCCAGCTCCTGCTGAAGAATTCAGTGCTGGGCATGCCCGCAAGAGCTTTCCTAGCAGGTTACAGTGTGCAAGTGCTGCAGGTGGGAGCTCTCAGTGCAGAAAAGCTGCTGACTTCAGAGCAGCAAAGACGGACAGTTGTGCAAGGGTTGTGTTCCCATGGGTGTGTGCCTGTGCTCTGTAGGCATCCCACTGTCAGCAGACTTGAAGTCATCTCTGTTCCCATTGCCACATCTGACACAACTTGGCCTTTTCTCAGTAGTTTATATCTTTTCTTCCTCATTTTGATGCTCTTCATTTAAAATAAAAATAAAATGTGACTTAAGTGTCACCAGGCTAGAAGAGGCTGGACACCGAGCAATGAGATTTTAGGCAGCCTGCAAAGCTTCTGATACTCTTTGGGAGTGGGTTTGACCATCGGAGACCTGAAGATGCTTTGATCAACTTTCAAAGTGCTTGTGTAGTTTATGGTTCTAGAAGGATTTGTCAATTTGAGCTCCGTTTACTGCCAAGACAGAGGCCTAGATGTGGGATTGGATTAATATTGATCCTATCTTAGCAAATACTAGGCTTTTTTTTCCTTAAGCCATTATAGATTCATATAAAAATAATAATCAAAGAAGCTGAAAATGAAAGACCCCATGGGCCATCTTTTCAAATATACCTTCACCTGACCTTAATTTTCATCTGATTCTAAGCTCAGTGAAGTCAGTCAAAAGAATCCCATGATCCAAGTAGAAAATGGATGTGGCTCTGTCCACAAACAACTCCCTACAAACAAACCCCAGCCTGAGGCAATTTTGTGCATTAATTGCACAAGAAGAATAGAAACTAAATACATACATATAGGGCCCTTTCCTTTTAGGAGTTTGTATGAGCAGATCATTTTCTTACACATCAAAACTAATTGAAATGGCACAGTGCTCATTCACAGAAGGAGGATGCACGAGTTTTTTATGCATCCAATGATAGAGGTCAGCAGGAGGGAAATGTATTTCTAAAATATATTTTATTAGCTCTTTCAGGAGCCTGGCAAAGGTCTTAGAAGTTTCTCACTTTGATTTATTCTAACCATACTGGAGAGCATAGGAAAGGCTTACTTTCTGGAACAATTACATCATACTGTGCTTTTATGATTGGACTGTATTACAATTAAAAGAAACATTTTAACCATGTAGTGCAGACTAAACTCTATCTGTATTTTTACAGCAGAAAAATTGTGAACTGTAATCACCAATTTTTACATAAAATTCCAAAGTATGTGTCTGTTTGGTTAGCAAATACTAGCATGTGAAACCTTAGTATCCCTGTCACTGAATAGTGAAATTAAAATAAATTATGTGTTGTAAACCCTTAGAACTTGACATCAGCACTGCTTTATTTACTGTTCAAATCCAGCCTTTCCCATAAATTTCTCTAGTTTCAGTTTCAGTCACTACCAAGCCAGTATCTGGGTACGTCCTTTCCCACAGAAAAGAAAGTTCACAGCAAACCCATGGGAAGAAGGGAGCAACAGACCCAAAATGGCCCCTGGACTCACACATATCTGATATGTGCTAAATCTGCAGTCCCCTCTGAAACATTTTCAACTTCCTGATGTAAGGATAAATCCCAGACACATATAGATATGGTGATGGGAGAGGTAGGACCTTCTCCACACTTCCTATTGGAAGCAAGGGCAGATGCCTGCAGTCTTTTGGGGGCACAAAGCACCCCAGACACAGACCAGGATCCCTGCACCCTATTTCCACCCTGCTGGCAAACCCCTTCTAGCTGCAAGCACACCCCATGTTGATTGTGGGCTCCCATCCTAACCTTGTTTGTATTTAATCTCGTGTCTCCTTTTTGACCTGGATGGCAGGTGTAAAATACTTTGAGGGCTTCAGTTCTGGAACCACCAGACAGTAAGCAACGGGTCCTACATCCTCCCTGCCACACAACTGCCTGCAGCAGACCCTGCATTGCTGTGCAGAGGCTCCATCACTTGACATTCTCATGTGTTTCCCCAGCCCTACACCCAGACACTCCTGCCCACAAAGTGCCCACGCACCCAGCAGCCCAAAGCAGCCCTGGCATTGCCATGGTGCCCACCCTGCTCAGCATCGAGCTTCCTTCTCCATCCTGCTCCGAGCTGGGGAAAGATTTAACACCTACCTTTCTGACGCCGGCAGCGGCAGGTGTCTGTGAGGCTGCGTGGGCGAGACAGGGCTCAAAAGGGAGGGAAACAAATCGCACATAGCAGCAGGGCTGCTGGTGCACGGCGAGGTGCTGGGGCTATGAATAGACCGAGCTGGGCTCCTGGCTGGGACATGGAGCTGCTCAAATGTCATGCGCGGGGGCATGCAGGGACTCAGCCGACTGGCACTGATGCTGCTCTCCTGCCCCTGTGCTGGCTGGATGGCTGCTGGCCAGACTCAGCAATCCCAGACTGAGGGGTCCTTGTGCAATGGCACAGCTCCTGCCCTGCCTCAGGGGCAGAAGATGATGCTGAAGACCAGGTGGTGGATGTGGACCTGTCCCATTCTCCCAGCCTTCCCTGGAGGAAAACACACAGAGGGGGGCTTTGCCATTACTGAGAGAGGGCAGGATTCCTCCCAGACCTAGATCCTTATTGGAATCTCAGCAATTTTTTACCCATAATATGGAAAGTTTAAATTCCCCCCTCAGATATACCTGGGATCCATCCATTAGAGATCTGGCTCTTTGTACTCTCAGCACAGGTTGAGAGAAGAAACCTCTCCCTTCACGGTGCTGATGCTGCAGACATGGAGGCTCCTGCAGGCCTGGTAGCCCTGCTCTGTTCCTCTCTTCTCCTGATCCTCCTTGTTGCTGCATGCTATCCCCATCCCCACACCAGGCACACCACTGTGCCACAGCTGATCATGGTGCAGGGAGCAGTGCCAGCACAGGCAATGGCCAGGGTGACTCCAAGTTCACTGCTGAATTTGGGGTACCAAATTACTAGCTCACCCCATTTAAGCCACACTCAAAATCAAGACCACTATCTCTACAGCTGGGATTTTCCCCAAACTTTCTTCTCCTCGTTAAGAGCTGGAATTGCTTGTAAAATGTCACTTTTCAAGGGAAATAAGCATTTCTTTCTACAAAGGCTGACAGCTTTTGGAGAAAGTATTCCTGATTGTGTAGAAGTGTTATCTACATATTTTTAATCAGACGTAAGGCCTGAGTGTCTTCTTGTTTATGCTGATGTAAATCAGAAACAGACCCACCAAATTGGTCCAGAATAATGGGGCTGCGCTGATTTACATCAGCTGCAGATCTCTTCCGATAGTGTTGTACTCCGTAAATTAAAGGGGAATCAAGAGGGCCATAATAAACTATTTATATCTCCATATGTTTAAGCAAAGATGGAAAAAAGATTAAGCAAAAATTAGGGTTATAAAATTGATTGATGTTGAGCCTATACTTTTAGTTGAGAAAGACATTAAGGGGTTTTCAGAATGTTCTTTTTTAAATGGCATTAATTTATTTATTCACTGAACTAATTGGTTGATTGATCATAATAGCTTCTGAGAAAATTGAAAATGAAATGTATTTCCTTATCTAGATTTTTAGTCTGATGGTTTTATTATAGGGCTTTTTCAAAAGTGGTGAGAGGAGTGTTCAGTAATGTTCAATTGTTAAGAGCAATTAGTTTGTTTTAGGGTGAAAATTAAGATATACATTGTTTTAAAAAGCCTATTTCACATATATTGTTTACAAAACAAAGGAAAAAATCAACATGATTAAAGTTTACTCATGTCAGAAAACTCAATAGATCAGATTACAAAGATAAATACTGCCTAAACTCCCAGATTGTTCTTATTAAATGTTCAGCTTTATCTTAGAAATAAAAATGCCCAATCTGATACTATAGTTTTCACAGAAGCCAGGGTGGAACAGTGAACTGATGAAATGCCACAGCTATGATAAAAATGAACCATATCCCCTAAATTGCATTGTTCTCCTGTTAGGTGGAACAATTTATAGCACCACGATGGTTCACGTGGAACATATATGTAATAAATTTTATTTATACGAAACCACTCTGCTACCATAATAACAACGATGTTTCTTTTATGAGTACATTTCTTCAGCTAATGTAATGAGCCTGCTTCACAAAAATGCTAACTAGCACTTTTGAAGACAAATTCCTTTTTATTGTTCACAAAACTTTGAACATTCCTCTTGTTAATTCCCTGAATTAATGGGCAGCCCTGAGCCAGCCTGGGACCCTCCGCTGCCAGGAGCAATTTCTGACTGCACAAGTGGAGTAACGCAGCGGTGAATCAGGCTTGGGCTAGGTCTGATGGAAATAGAAGCTTTCTCTGCTGTAAGCCAACCCCGTTTCCACCTTCTTCATGTAATTAAGTCACAATCCCTTTGTTCTAATATCATTATCTGTTGTCATGGTGATTTTGATTTACAAAAATGAATGGCTGAGAAGTGGGCGAAGACAAAAGTTTTGCTGAACGAGGTTAAGCTAATGGCAAATGGAAAATATCTGTGGCAATACAACAAACTCATGATCTTTTAACAGCAAATTTTAAAACAATGATAAGAAGTAGGTGTGAGAGACATTTGATGTGACTATATCGGTGTTTTGGAAATATATGTTGAACTTAACGTCTTAGAACAAGTTTTGCGTGGCACCAGCCGTGCCGTACCTTCTGGAGCTGCATGAACAAAGAAATCCCATTCTGAATCTCAACATCCTGTAATTAACCTACTGGAAAAACACTGCCTTGCTAGGCAAAAGTCCCGCCAGTTTCCAAGGGCGTGCTTTGATTTTGGGAACAGATACATGGCCTTTACAGCTCATCCAAAAGGAGAAAACCTGTTTTGATGGGTAATTATGTGGTGTGCATGCAAATTGTCCATAGGCGAGGCTGCATCGTGGCTAGCAGCGTGTGGGCACACAAGACACAGTCAATTAGAGCGGAGCTTTAGAAGAGATCTACATCAGCTTGGTTAAACTCGGGGCACCGTTTTCCTTTGTTGTGACTGAAATGCTGCAACCAACGCATGGAGCTGAGCTTATCTCCTCTTTCTCTCTCGCCATGGTTCTGTAATTTTGCCCTGGCTCTGCTGACAAATGCATACAGATGCTTCATTAACCAGTGGTGCAAAACCATTCCCTTGCACATGGCTCTGTGCCTGTGGGTGCTCCCCAGCACGGCCATTTCTCCACACCCCCAGGTGCCTCAGCCCTGCGCTTGTGTCAGGCACATGGGCACAAGGCTGGGGAGGGTCAGTGCCAAGCAAAATGGAAAAATGTCGGCATTGAGCCAGCAACCCCCCCTAGTGAGGCAGGAAGAAGCTCTATATTGCTCCAACATTTACATTTGTTCCTAGAATTGGTTGGGAATGGCCAATTTCTTGTTTCTAGGACTTAATCCTCTCCTTCCTGGTGCAGAGCATATTTTCTTTTCCTGGAGTGTAAGACAGCCTCTGACTCAGGGACTGGTATCTTGCTTTACTTTCAGCACGCGAGTAGTCCCGTGATGTCAGCTCATCCACTTGTGCCAGCAGTGCGCTGAGTGCCTGCAGGCTGGCCATGGCACCTCGGGGACACAGCTGCTGCCTCCTCCCGGCGGGCAGGGAGGGCTCCAAAATCCTCCCTTATGAGCAAGGAGCTGGGGTGCATTCAGGTCCTGATCACCGTGCTGAACCTCATTTCACAAGGTGCTCCGAAAGTGGAGGTTGTTGTGTGTACCTTCTGCTACAGCCAGTTATGGTGTGTTGGTTATCATATCCATATACACCATGTCAGTTTGAATACATATATACAGGGAAAACAGAGAGATTTACTTGACCAGAGAATCCATTTTAATCCTATTATCTCTTTTTTTCAGTCCAAACACAACACATGATTTCTTTTTTCCTTAGGACGAGTGCTGACCTTTAGAGCAGAGCAAGGGCAACCCCGGGCTCGCCTGTGTCCACCAGCCCAGGGAGCAGCACCCCTGCAGGCCCTCTGAATTGAAAGCTCTTCCTGGCTCTGTCAACCTGAATCCCAGGTTGCCTCACGGATAATGTGGCATGCCAGCCACCCGCTGCTTTCTCATTTAAATAAATGAGAAAGTTGAGGCTAAATTAACACTCCAGCGGAGGTAATAAGGGCCGACTCAGCAGCTGCCGTGATGTATGCAAATTACAGTTTCACACATTAGGAGCTAGATGTTGCTTAATTTGTAGGCCTTTCTGTCGCCTAAATGAAAGAGCCTTCGACAAATTCAGGCAACCTTAAAAAATAAAAGGCCACAGAAAGCCCCTGAATTGAACTGCTCACCAGTGCTCCTGCACCTACAGTCTTTCTTGTGGGGCTTCCCTCCTGATCCCCCGACAAGCAGTTATTGCTGAGTTACACTGCACTGCCTGGTGCCTTCAGGCAAATAGCTGCTGATTTTCAGAGCAGCCTGACTGAGAACGCACTGCCAGCCCTTTGGTAGAAACAGAAAGATGATTTTTTTTTTTTTTTCAGTGGTGCCACAGTCCGGGAGCTTAACATCCACCGGGTTTCTTTCTCTGGAAATGAAGCTGTAGCAGTGCAAAGGAAAACCCCTGATAGCAGCCAGTTAATCAGACAGAAGGAATGGGCTGATAGGAGAGAATTTGTTCTTCTTTTAGATCTGTAGAGATGGGAATGCAGATGCAAAGAAGCATGTAACTGGATGGGGGTTGTGGAAATGCTGTTCTGTACATTAGTTTATAGGCTTTTAGTGTCGCTAAGAAAATTATGGACATAACCATGTTAGGGTCAAAAAGAAGAATTCTAAATGGAGATAAAAATTGAAACTCAGGAAGGGAACTGCATACCCAGAATAGCAGAACATGAAGCCATTGTGGCCACACAGAGTAGAAAAAAAATAACTGTAATGTTTGTCAGGCTTACATGTCCTGTAAGAAGAAATAAAATACTAAAAACCTTGTAAGTAAGAATTTAGCTGGTTCAGAAATGCCACAGCCACAGGATACGTGGCTAAAAAATGCTCCCAACTCACCAGATTGTTCCCAGCTTTTATTCAGGAATGCAGGGGTTTCATTCTAAAATAAATCCCATTCAGATGATTCAGCTTTTTCCTGTCTTTTTTGCTCTCCTGACCTGCACGGTCAATCCTCAAGAGCTATTGCCACAGGGCTTTGAATTCCTTCAGAGGAAATGTTCCTTCCTCCATCTGGTCACCAATTCCTTCATGCTCTCAGCCCCTGCTCCTGGATGCCACTTTCTTAGCCTTTGCTCATCCCTTTCATAGCCTGGAGATACCGTGGTGACTCCCAGCGTGCCTTTAGCAAAGAAATAACAGGAACTTGTCCTGTGTTGAAATGAACTGTGACATGAAAATGCAAGTGAAAAAGCACCAGTGGCCACGTGGGCAAGAAACACTCAGTTTGGAATCAAAGCTCAGGGTCTGAGGGCAGCTCCCATCTCCTCGATATGAGCACACACCCAAGCTGGAGGGGAGCTGGGCACACACCTCCTCCCACCACCCTTACACCTGCACCAGGAAGGAAACCAGAGCACACACAGGGTAAAAAGAGCTGTGGCCTGCCCTGGTCTGAGCTACAGGGGACAAGCATTGAGGGAAAAACCCTGAAGAGCCTCCATCCTGCTGTCCAGATGTAGTCCTGGCAGAGCTGGGTGCTTTATTGCTCAGGACACAAAGTGGGACCATAGTTCTTACTGCTGTTACTTTATCACTTCGTAAAAGCCCCTGCAGATCTCTTGGCCTTTGTCCCTCATCGCTGAACCAAGATGATGATGGAGCTTTCCTACCAGTTGGAGAGATTAATTCACTGAGCCGCAGGGCTCATGTGCCAATAGCGCAAATTAAGACAACATATGTAGGTTTGCGTATTCCAATAAATTCTGCATTTGCTTCAGCCCCATACCTAATGCACAATTATGCCACAAAAAATGCATGAAAACATGTTCCTAAGCAGCAGTTATGGCAAATGAATTACCAACATATGAAGGAAAGTATGCATGGCTTTTCTGACAAACAGAGGCAATAACTCTGAGAGAAGTGGACTTCTCCTGTCAAAGGCATGAGACATTTGTCCCTAACGTGGCCCAAGGATGCTGCTGCTACTTGGATGTCCACTCCTCAACATTCATCTGGAGGTGGCTCCTCTCTCCCATTCCCACACGATGAAAGTACGTGCCAGAGGTGGACAGCCCAAAGTGTCCATCTGTCCATGGGTGTTGTGGT